AAAGTCGAAAAGTCCGCAAAAAGCGAAACATGACAAAGTCAAGAACCAAAAACGTCAAAGGTAGCTCCATGGTCCATTACCAAAGAATTCACAGAGGCAAATAATTTAATGCCGCGTAAAAGAAAACTGCCGGCATGAGAAACAGGGCCAGGCCAAGGTCTGCGAGGCCCTGGGCGGCCGACCATGGCACCCCCAAAAAGTGGGCCGCGGCAGCACATGGCGCACCGGTAACAAAGGAACGCGCACCGGTCCAATTGTCCAATTTCAGTTTCTAGGCGGCGAAAGATGAAAGTTGCAATCTGCAACAAAAGAATTCTACCAGCGGGCATGTGTGCAATGTACTGCAATGTGCAAGCTCTGGAATGGTAGCGAAGACGAACTTTGCGATATTAATAAAACGAGGATGCTGTTGGCATGTAGGTGATAAAATTTGCATCATGGCTTTCTGTGTGGCTTGCAGAAGTGCTTTTTCGCGCGGCTTGTTTCTGAACAATTCGTGGTGGACACCAGCCTCATCGTCTCGAGGGAGCTTAATGAGTAACAAACACGGAGGGCGGGATAGGAATGCAAAAGTAAAGCTTCTCCAGATTTGAGCCAGAGTATCCCTCGACTTCGGTACAGCGAATATGCAAAATCCAGGGTCCAGCTTGCTGCTGCTGCTTCTGCTGTTGCACAGTTCGCATCTTTCCTCAAGGCCTCGAGGCATGGTCGTAGCATCCACGTTGAAGTCGCGAAGGTGCAAACGCTCAGCGAAAAGTTCAGACTGAAAGCCCGGAAGATCGCGAAGGCAAAATGTCGAAATCTCGCGAAGGGCCTGAAAAGTCCCGAAGCGCAGAACGTCGAAACGCCCAATTATCCCGAGAAGGACCGAAACAATCCGGAAAGGCCGACAAGGACAGAACCGCGCACAAAGCCGAAAGCCGTTGGGACTTTTGACTTGTGAGTGGCTTGTCTTTGATTCGAAGCTTGCGTGCTATCATTCCTGATCGCTTTTGAGTGTTTGGGCCCTGCCGCCGGCACAGTTTCATAACGGTTCTGCAAGCAGGGGCTTGCCTGCTACGTTGAACCAAATCTCCTGCCACCTGCCAAGCACGTTCACTCGCCGTAGGTATCGAGCCGACTGTACCACACTAAGCATGGGAAGCTCCAGGTTAGATGCTGCAAGGACTTTTGAGAGGGAAAGGTTTGTACTCTAGGGCGAGATGGCGAAACTGTGGTGCGGGTCAGATCGAAGATGCGATTCAAGATGTTGTCCATCCGCAGTCGCATTTGCTCGCTTCTTTCGCTTCTGTTTTCTTTGTTGTGTGCGACTGTGTTTCGCGGTGCGGTACTGGAAGTCGATTGCTCCCGCTAGAGCATCCCAGGCTTCAAGAAGTGAGATTGGCTCCAAGCGCTGTCTGAGGTTGCCGAGGGGGATTTGGTCGAGGCTGAAAGGCTCCTTGCAGCCTCAGCGGATGCAACTCGGCCGGAGCGCCGGGTGCCCAAAATGACTATGAAGGGGCTTTTGGATTCTTCGGGCGAGGTGACCCCTGCCCTGCATTTGGCGCTTCAGATTGGGGCCGCCCCAGAGGCGGGACAATCTCGAGTCTGCACAGTTGACATGAGCGAGAGTGCTAAACCCATATGCCCCATGACCGTGTTCATAGGGGCCCTTAGGGGGGTAAGGGGGAGGGGGGTAGGGGACTATACTTCCTTGATGGGCATTAAGGCCCCCTACCCTCCTCCCCTTACCCCTTTAAGGGTCCCTATGACGTGTTCTTCTGGCGAACATTGGTTTTCGGGTCGTGCCACCTCATAGTAGAGTCTCGAAACTTGTTGATGCCACAGAGATTGACGACGCTACATTGTGCATTCCATTAGATTTCTCGTAGGTTCCAGAGCTCTTTGACTCTGCATACATGGATGCAGAAATTCGGATGCGCACTTGAATGAGGTGCCTGCTTAAGTGTATGCACACATCCTTGCATACACATGGCACGGCCATGCAGCAGTTTCACATAGCTGCATACCAGGCCTTTATATAAGTTCGCTCAAGCTCGCTTGAGGCCACTCACTTGTAGACGATTCCCGTGACAGAAACGGGGTGCTCACCCCAGCAGGAAAAGAAAGAGCTCCGAGGTCCTGTGTTTCGTCACAGTGCGCTCTGATCTCTGCCGTATTCTCCAGACCGTCGAGCTCCTAGCGGCCTGCTGCTCTCGGCTGAACGTGTGGCTGCCAGAGCCTGCCGTCGTGACGTGGGTGGGGCAGGGTTAAAGGACACCACTCAGGGGTTTCAGTATGTCCTATTCATGGAGCGACTAATGATCGAAGCTGCGGTTTGCAAGTTGCGACAAGACAATCAAGACGTTCGGTTTCAGAAGCTGCCGAACCGCGCGCACTGCAGAACACCTTATGCTTCGTGACCGGAGCCAGGCTAGGGCCACTTGCCGAGCAGCGCTGAGCGGTCGGCCCCTGCGTGGGGCGACAGCCAAGCTGGACTCGCTGCTCCTGGCAGGAGTGTCGCAATCGGAACTCTTGAGACTGGAGCACGCTGACACTTTTCCCTTTGCAAGGCGCAGATGTGAATTCCATTGGCAGGGGCTGCGAGACGGCACTTCATATCCTCGCACGTGCCTTGCTCGCAGTCGGGGTGGTGGCCGTGGTGGCCAGCTCAATCGTGACGGGGTTGACTTACTGTTCGCCTCTTCGGCCGTGGGTAAAGATCAGTTCTTAATGGCCAAGTGGAGAAATTGGGCCGTCGAAAGCTATCCAATAAGTGTTCGTGGACAGCCGAAGCAAAGCACGCCTCTGCCACATTGCAAAGGAACGCTCCAGCTCCTGTGGCAGGCATGGTCTGTTGAATTAAACATCTGTCTCTCACATGCCTCGTAGCCGGCCAGTTTACTTCCCGTGCCAATCAAGATGTCTGCCCAGCATGCATCCCACAGCCACTGGCTTCTGGGATCTGTTGACACTTGCTCGTTACGCTTCAGTCGGCGAAGCTTCAAGCAAGTGCTCTGATGCAGTGCTCCAGGGCACAAGAAACAAAGTCGGCACATTCCCGGCCAGAGCTCTTCACGAAAAGCGATGGAGCCTTCAGGCCTTGCGTTGGCCAACCTGAAATCGCACAGGTGAAGGAGAGCAAAGCAGAAATCTGAAGAGCCCGCGGAAGTTTCGTTCAGTCTATGTGTCTGTTCCCACACCGGCACCAGTGGAATCGGTACACCGCTATTGCTAGAATCCTTGCGGGTCAAGCTGCGCTGTTTTTCGGCCAGCGAGAAGGCCGGAATGGCGAAATTCCTAGCATGTCGTTCAGAATCCCTCAGACTTTTCGGGAGACCTCGGGCACCCGAGCCTTCTGCATCTGTGCTGGTTGGTGCGAGGGGATGTCAGCAGATCCAGTGGAGCTTCCTTTTCCGAATGTTCTGGTGGTGTTGAAGGGTCATGAGAGTTCGGATTCCATCTTGCGGGAATTGCAGGGGCAAAGCTGTCGCCGCAGGAGTCGCAACGCTACTCTCTGCGAAGCAAGAGTCTTTCGCGTGAAATTCAGGACACTGCACAGCCATGCGGTTGTAACTGGTAGAGGGGTGAGCGATGAACATCCAAATTTCAATTTTGCAACTTCTCACGCGACAAGGACGTCCTTTAGGGCAGTACTGTGCCAGCACTTCTCTTACGAGATGAACCGGCAGCGCTGCGTGGATTGTGCCAATGTGGAGAGACGTTGCTATTAGACCATTAGACATGTCCCGAGTCCTTGACCTCTCAGATCGCAAATTGGAGCAAGACCTGTTTGTACTCTGCTCGCAAATGTCGTTGCTCCAAACGCAGGAGACTCAGCACGAGCTCAACAAGCTTTGGCATGACCTCGTCTCACGAGGCACGCGTGACATGCGGATTTTTGCAGTTCGGGCACAGTCAGAGGCATAGTGAGAGCAATTGTGACAGGTTGACGGCATGCTGGAAGCTTATCGTCAAGTCTATTCGTCCGGACACTGTGATGAGAGGCGCGGATGCGAGCATGGCCGACGGCGAGAGCTCTTCTGCGCTTGAAAGGCAAGTCCGCCTTGTGTGCAGCACACTGTTCTCTGGACTTATTTGCCAGTCTCGTGTGTATCTGGTTGCCAATCCTTCAATTCATGAGATTGTAGAGAGACATGAAGCACTGGCGAGGCTGTCTGCGACACAGTGCACGGATCTCTTGGTCTCCAAACGGAGGACCTATGCTATGCGGCGCTATCACCATGCCAGGCCTACAACATTGAGTTACAGCACATATCCGACGGGGTTCTCCACTTCACTACATTCTACTCCATCCCACTCGCTCGCATTCACCCTGCCTGTGCTTAGCTCGTTGCCTGCCCGCCTTGAACTCATAAGGACGAATCTGCAATCTGCACGTGTCAAGGCTCGATGTACAACTGGGTGCCCCAAGTCCCTTGGGTTCCTGGTACAGGGTTCGTATGGATTCGTCGTCCGGGTGGTGGGGCTTGTCTTGTCCTGCTCATCGTAGGTCCTGGTTTTTCTTTCTTTGGCCTGCCGCGCTGGGCTTTCCTCTAGGTTTGTCCTCTGCTAGGTTTGCTTGCGGGAGCTCCTGCTTTCCTCGCTTCTCCAGCCCGCCAGTGTTGATCTAAAGAAGATAAAGAAGCTGTTCTTGGCAAGCAACTCTTATTTCGAAGGTGCATAATTGAGGAGGCTTATGCGGATTTTTTTAGAAAATCTTCAAAGCCTTATAGGTGACCGAAGCCTCTCCAATTCAAAAACAACCGTTGGAGCCCCTAAAGCAGCAATCGGTTTCACGCCGACAGCCACGGGTTCAATCGGTTCAAGTAGGCAACACTTTAAGACACATTCCTCATGTGCTTCAGGTCGTCGGCAAGTCAGTGATTTCGGACGTTCGGGACAGAGCATGATGCGTACCTGTGCATGTATGTATCTATCTATGTACCGCACACAAATATAGCAACGATTGGATAAGTAGGTCCTGAACACCCATCCAGGCTCCCGGAGTCCGAATTGTCATGTTCCGTTTCCCTGCTTCGCCGGCCTCGTCGGTGGTCGCCGCATCCACCGCGCGGCGTCCCGAGAATGTGCCGTGGTCATATTGCACGGCGCATGCTGCATCGCGGCAGACAGCGAGCTCAGGGCCAGAGGCCTCATCCTTAGAGAAGGGCTGACAGCTGACGTGTGTCATTATTGCTTTTGTGGGTTCGGTGCGGAGCAGGTGCCAACTGTGACGGAGACGTTTGGGTCTGCGGCTGTTCTTGCCTCGGCTGTGGCCGCGTCCGTGGCCTTTAGAAGGCATTCTCGAGGTTTCCGAAGCCGGCGGGGTCTTTGGCACCTTCCGCGTCGGGCTTGGCGGAGCTGGGCAGAGGAGCTGGCCATCGAAGCACCTAAGGCGAGCTACAACCAGCGACATTCCATTCCGTCGGGTGTCATTCGCATGCAGTATGTGCTGCCTGCTCTGCGATTATAGAGAAATATATATATATATATATATATATGGTCACGCGCTCCGCAGCCCCCCCCCCCTCCCCCCCCAAAGGTCAATGGTCCGGATATAGGGTGGGGCCCCCCCCTCCCCTGTGGTGTGGGGTGTGGGGTTCCTCTTCCTTTTGTGGGGTGGTTGTGGGGTTTTGGGGTTTAGGGTTTAGCTTAAGCTTTTGAGTTTTGGGTTTACGGTTACAAGGTATAAGGCTTCGAGTCGACAAGGGCTTAAGGAGGATTTGCGGTGTATGCTCTGCTTTAGGCTTAGAGCCTGCAGTTAGGTGGGGTTTAGGGTTGGGTGTAGCGTTTTAAGTACAAGTTAAGGTAGTTAAAAGAACACGACCCCAGAGACCCAGCAGAGCATGTAGGAGAGACTAGTTGCAGAGGGTTTTCCCTGCAGTGTTTCAAGTGCGACTTCGGATTATGTTTGGCTCAAGAAAAAGAAGGGCAATGCAGCTAGATGCCCTGGTTCTTTAGAGGGTTGGCCGGGTTTAAGTACCTTCCTTCCCTCTTGATTGGTTATCAGCCGTAGCTCTTTGTTTCCTTTGGTTTCCTACTTGAACCCGGCCGCAGGGTTTTAGTGGTTCTTCCCCCTGCCATAGCAAGAGCGCAGCCTTAGGCGCGCTGGTGGGCAGATTGCTAGTGGGGTGCTGCCTTGTGCGCACCGGCTAGCATATGCCACCAAAGGGCGAGGCACCTGCCGGAGACAAACCCTAATTACAGAGGGGGCCGCGCAGGAGCGAAGAGGAGGAAGCTTCACTTTTACCAAGCGCAGGACGCGCTGATCCAGCTTGCTGAGACGGTACAAGATATAATCGTGCAGAGGAGGAGCTTTGAAGACGTTACCGAGGCCCACTACGACACGATTATAAGGTTCGGCCAGATTACGGAGCAAGTCGACGTATATCACCCTGTGTGGGCAGATTTGGTCGAGTACTATCCTGAGTTGTGGACTGCTTTTTCGGACGTCGCGGAAGAGCCTGCCACTGGGTCAGGAGCTCGCTGGAGGCCGAAAGCCGCAGCAAAGGAAGCCGGGTCGGGGGGTGCTGCTTCAAGCGCACCACAGGAGGAGGAGCAGCCAGCCGAGGAAGCGTCAGGCGCGCCCGCCGAGGGTGCAGCCCCTGGCGCACCGGCGCAGCCGCCCACACCTCCGAAGGCGCCGGCTCTTGGAATAAGGGGACCCACGTGGGACCTTTATTACAGGGGCCGGAGCGACCCACTGAGGCAGAGGAGGGTGCCAGCAGAGCCAGAACAGATCATTGAAGACACTGGCGCGAGAGCATCATCCGAGCCACCGGCTGCCGAGGGCGAGGTGGATCTGTCCAGAGCTGGCGGGAATCCGGTAGAAGATTCCCTGCGATCTGCCAGGCGCGTCCGCACCCCGCCGGCGCGGCGAGCGCAAGAGGAGGCACGCCTGGAGGAGCTTAGGCTCCGCGGCTCGGTGTTTGCCTCTTTTAGGGACGCCGAAGACGCGGAGCCTGAGCAGGCAGCCGGCGAGCAGGAGACCGAGGAGGTAGAGGTAGAGGTCGAGGTTGCCCAAGGTGACGACCGGGGTGCTGCCGAAGGCGCACCAGACGACGAGCCAGCAACCGAAGGCCGACAGGCAGAAGGCGCCGAGGAGGAAGAGGCAGCAGAGGAAGACGAGGCAATAGACGTGCACCCTGCCTCGGAGGCAACAGTTTCTCCAGCCACCTCGGGCCGCAGCCCCAACGCGAGAGATCCGTGTGAATCTTGGCAGGGGCCGGGGTGTGACCCGCAGGCCACTTATCCTTGCACCTCCCACCGAAACCTTCCCAACGGTTCGGGTTGATAGTCAGGGTGCTTGGGTTCGGGTTAGGGATTCCGGTGCGGTTCCCACCTTTCAGCGTCGTGCCGTGCCCCCCCCGAGGGTGCAGCGCACCGCGCACCAAGGGGACGCAGAAGAAGCCCTAAGTGCACCCGATCCGTTTGATCTGCCAGACGACGCGTGGATCGATCCCAGCTCCTACTTCTAAGGGCGGTGGGTTAATAAGTAGATACATAAGTTAGTAATCGATTGTACAGTTTAGTGGGGATGGCTAGTCTAACATAGCAATTGACCTAAGTGCAGTTAGCAAGGTACAATTACAGAAGTTAGCCAAACACAGTTAACGAAGTTAGCATTTTACTAACAGCACCTTAAAACCATGATGATGCCCATGAGGATGATGAAAAATCCAATGTCGCAATGCAGGGCGATTCGCTCGCAGGCAGGATCAGAACATGAAAACTGTGACAATTCATGTGTCGCCATGCAGGGCGATTCGCTCGCAGGCATATATGCACAACAATCTTTTTTATGGCACGACCAGCATGCTGTCTGCACTCATGCGTTTGAAGAGGCAGGTTCGACTGATCTCGGCCACTCGCATGAACTGGGCTCCGTCCTGCTTGACCCGGAAGAGATTCTTCCCTTGTGGCTCAAGCACACTCAACAGAGCCAGGAGCTCGCCATGCTGCAACCGGCAAAACAACCACACCTCTGCAACGGACCCCGTCTTAAGCAGCACCAGGTCACCCCTCTCGCAAGTCTGTCCTGGGCAGACCTCGGCCTGCATGGCCGACTGCACATGCTCAAGAGTCTGAAACCCGAATGTCTGCCCCAGGTGCCACAGCAAAGTGCCATCAGTGACAGACTTGGGGGACTTCAAATGGGGCCGCATGAAGCCAGCATGCTCAGACAGATCCAGAAGAGCCCTGCCCAAAACATCTTTAAAGAGTGAAGCTTCGAACCAGTCGGTCACTTTCTTCGTGTTGTCAGCAAACTGCTTCACTTGCCGATGCTTTCGTTCGTGTGTAAAACAGGAAATCAGAGGCCTGTCTCGAGCCATCAGGGGAAGATGGAGGCTATAGTGGAACTTCGGTATACAGTGCTGCTCTCCATATGCTTTAAGGAAAGCTTGGCTATGGGCCCGAATCGCATTCTCGAGCTCGTCCGGCGACAGGTTCCCAGTCCGATTGCATTCAAGCAGGAGGTCGAGAACCATACAAATCTTCATAAAGGATCGGATGCATCGCCGAAGTTCGTCGTCCATTGTGTCAAAGTGATGAGTCAGCAAGAAAAGCCGCAGCAAGGGATAGACAGTGATGCACTGCGAAGCACCGGCCTTGAACTCAGAAGGTTTGCTCCTTTTGTCGAACAAATGCAAGATTTCTCTTCTCCGGTTCTTCAGGTTGTGAGGCCATTCGTACTCTGAGATAAAGCTCTGGATCACCTGAAATGTTGCACCCTGCACATGCAAGAGTGGCAAGAGTAAGCTCAATTCCACGTGCAGGAGGCCGCTTACCACATAACAATGCATCCAATCCCACATCAAGCATTTCACAAGCGGCATGCTTTTGTGAGCAAGCACTCCAGATGGGTTAAAGTTCAACCCCATGCTGGACTCCAGCAAGGCAAAATCCTTTTTGCTCAGCATGGGTTGCCTTCTCGCCAGCAGTGCCTGTGCAGTGAAGATCTGATTGTCGGTTCTGCGGACAAACAGATTGCTGTCGATGCATGATATGTCATGCAATTCTCCCGAGTGGTCATTTGCTGGCAGATCACCGTGGGTCTTGCTTGTTATGTTGGCACATAGCGGGCAAACCAAAGTCCCACTGGAGCCCTTGAAGTCGTACATAGACTTCAAAGCTGCCTCGTCTGCAACTACAGTATGCAGTTTCGCGAAGAACATGACCCGTTCCCCGGTTGGCATGTTCAGCAAACAGCCCGACTGGAGGTTCAGGAACGATTCCGAGGAGACCAGAATGTGGGTGAGTGCAGACAGCCCGCCTTGGATCTTGTTCACCACCGAAGACCGAGTCAAGTTCAAAGGAAACCAAAGGTTTTCTTGGCATCGGCCTTCAGCATCAAACTCGAGAAAACTGAGGTAGTACCCTTGGATCTTCCTGGTGTTGCTGGCTTTTAGCTGGTTGCCAGGACTAATCTCATCATTGTATAAAGCCATGCGCCATGGGCTGGTTGCTGTGCACGGGTACTTCGATAGCTGCCTTTGGAAAAAGGCAGCTACACCAGGCATGGACTGGCAAACATGCCATATCCATGCCATCAGGTTGAGGATCGGCAGCTCTGTCGGCACGATCTTCACCTCCTCGTCTCCAGCTGCCTTTCGGCTCTTCACCTCCACAGGTACTGTAATCTTGGCCACCAAAGGGCCATGAGGAGTCTCTGCCTCCAGCTCGGAATCCCGTGCCCTTTTGATGCCTCGCCGGGAGGCTGAGTCAAGGACTTCAGGGCATGCAGCCACTTCCTTCAGTACTGCCTCCAGAGCACTCTGGCTCACATAGTGCTTTCTGCCGATGGTAGCGAGCGACATAGATTATAAAGATGGCTGCCCGCGAGCAAAATGCCCTGCAGGCACCGGATATTAGAAGTAACAATTCTTACAATAAATATGTTTGTACATACAACATGTGTCAACCTGTCTATAAATCCTTGTCCCCACGAAACCTTCTTCAACACAACAAAAACCTCTGGATGCACGTATGATACAATGTATGCACACGATCTAATACAACTAATTTCTTATAATGGCTGGACTATATCTACCAATATATAATATCACGTATATATAATATATATGTATATATATATATATATATGTGTGTGTGTAAGTATGTAATATACATACATATATATATATATACATATATATATATATATATATATATACAGGAGATATTTATACTTGCAATGCAGCATCAGACCAATCTGCAAGCCGATCCGATCACTCAGGTTTACATGCTGCCTGGCAAGACACACACACACACACATGCAGCAGAAGAGGCAACATGATGTGCATAAGTGCATGCCTGCATGATGATCTTTTCCTCCCTCTGTGCTGCAGTCGACGAGTTCCCCACTCATCGAGCCGGTCATTTGAATCGGGCAAGCAGCTATTACTTACAGAAGCAGCTGGGCCTGCAGCCTGGTGCGAATCTGCATTTGCTGCAACCATTCGGGCGAAGGCTCACCCTTTTCTTCATGGAAAGATTGGCATAGTATTCTCTGCTACCGGCCGGGGCGGCTTTGGCCTTTGCACTGGCCTTTGCACTGGCCTTTGCACTGGCCTTTGCAACGGCCTTTGCACTGGCCTTGGCACTGGCCTTGGCACTGGCCTTACTGGCTGCCTTTGCTTTGGCATGGGCTTTGCCCTTTGCCTTTGCCTTGGGCAAGCCTGCAGGCTTCTTAAGAATCCCCTTCTTCTTGTTGACTGCATCTGCAACGAGCCCAGCCTGCCTCAACACTTCTGCCTCGTCGGCCTCGTCGTTTTCAGGATCACTCATCTCCAACTGCACTGCCGGCGAGACACCAGCTGATGCATTCGTTGCCGCCACAAGTGCTGTTTGCTGGACCGATGCAGATGCCCCTGCGGGTGCCTGCTGGGTTGCTGCTGCAGGTGCCTGGGTTCCTGCTGCAGGCCCCTGGCCCATGGTGGTTGCCCCCGCTTGACCTCCACCGGGTGCGAAGTACTGCATGTTCGGGATCGGGTCCTGCTGCTGCCTATTCTGGTCCTGCATGAGCCTCTGCATCATGTTGTTCATGGTGTTCATCATACCCATCATCGTCATCCCGGGCTGCATTCCTTGCAGGCCCATGTTGAATTGCATGTTCATGGGGTTGTTGTTGCCACTTGCAGGCCAGCTCTGCATGCCACCGGCACCCATCATGTTTCCACCACGAAGCTTCTTCGAGCTCCCTCTCAACACGATTGCAGATGATGCTGCCTGCACCCTGTCGGGAGATTGCATCTGCACAGTGCATGCAGGATCCTCTTGAGAGTATGCATCGGCGAGCTCAGGGGGCAGATTGTCTGGCGATGCTGGATAATGCTCGAGGTGAAAGCCATTCTTGGGCAAGCCTTTGGCTTTGCTTTTCAGCATTTTCTTGAACAACTGCTTGTTGGCATAGCTGTCAACCGCCCCCACATCACCGCCTGCCCTGGCCAAGCCAGCTGCCAAGATCGCTTTGCAGCAAGCCTCAGATGGGCAGGTGAGCCTCAGCTTGATGCACCGGCATGCCAAGACATCCAACTTCACGTGGATGTTGTCACCAGCTTCCAAAGCCTGGATATCTTTGACGGACAGGTAAGGTTCGAAAGCATCAACTTTCTGAGTAGCTCTCTTGCCACCCTGACCTGTCCCGGTGTTGGTTCTAGCTACTGCTCCAGCCAAGAGATCACTGAACTCCTTTGTTTGTGGAGAAGTCCATTGCTTTCCTGCAGTCCATGCAGCCAGCAGGGCTGAGGCTCCATTTGCATCCACGGAGGCAAGGTTCTTCACTCGCTGGCAAAGGGCTTTTGCTTGCACCTCTCTAACACTGTCGTAGTTCGGGAGTGCAGTCATGGACTGGAGAAAATTGGCTGTAGCAGCCAAATCCCCCTTCAACTGATCCATGGCTGTGGCAGCAGACATGTCGATCTGTTTGCGAGCTTGAAGCCCTGCAACCGATCTTTGCAATCAATCCTTTTGAGCCTTGCTTGGACATATCGGCGGGCCAGGTTCGCGAAATTTTGGATTCTTCTCTCTCTCTCTCTCTCTCTCTCTCTCTCTCTCTCTCTCTCTCTCTCTCTCTCTCTCTCTCTCTCTCTCTCTCTCTCTCTCTCTCTCTCTCTCTCTCTCTCTCTCTCTCTCTCTCTCTCTCTCTCTCTCTCTCTCTCTCTCTCTCTCTCTCTCTCTCTCTCTCTCTCTCTCTCTCTCTCTCTCTCTCTCTCTCTCTCTCTCTCTCTCTCTCTCTCTCTCTCTCTTCTGTCTCTGGCTTTTGCTTCTCCTTCTCCAAAGTATATATATATATATATATATATACATATACATATATATATATATACATATGTATACATATATATATATATACATATATATATATATATACATATATACATATATACCGTATACAGACTATATACACCCGGACATGATTTGAAGTTGTTCGCTCTCATGTCTTATGTGTGGTGTGCCGGCATCCTCACTTCGTTTC